AAATGAATTGGTAATTTCAAGAAATGTAATATTTGATGAAGAGGGGGCATGAAACTTTGGAGAAAATTCCCTACAAACAACGAAATATGTTATAGAAGATGAAAAATAAGTGATGCCCAATGACTATGATCATGATACAATTACATCAAATGCACGACCAACAAACTCAAGAAGATCAAGCTCAACAAGTTTCAATCCAAGAATGATTCCCTAAAGTTCAAGTAACCAAGGTCCATGGAAAGTAAATCCAAGTGGTGTAGATTCAGATACTCCACCAAGAAATGTACATTCACTTCAAGAAATCTTTGATTCTTGTGATATTGCATTTCTTACATTAGAACCACAAAAGTTTGAAGAAGCTTCAAAATAAGAAATTTGGGTGAAAGCTATGGATGAAGAAATTGAAATGATAGAGAAGAATCAGACATGGGAGTTGGTCAATAAACCCAAAGAAAAAGAAGTAATTGGACTAAAACAGATTTGCAAAACAAAGTTCAATGAAGACGGGTCAATCCAAAAGCACAAAGCAAGGTTAGTGGCTGAAGGCTATGCCCAATAGCCAAGGGTATATTTCCATGAGACTTTTGCACCAGTTGTAAGAATGGAAACAATTAGAACTGTGCTTGCACTTGCTGCTCAACTAAAATTGCAAGTGTTTCAATTTAATGTGAAATCATCCCTTTTAAATAGAAATTTAGAAGAAGTTTATGTTGAACAACCATAAGGATATGTGATAGAAGGAAAGGAACACAAGGTTTACAAGTTTCGAAAAACTTTGTATGGCTTAAAGCAAGCACCTCAGGCATGGAATAGCAAGATTGATAAATATTTTCGTAAGAATGGATTTGAAAAAATTCCAAATGAGCCATCACTCTATGTCAAGAAGGAAGGTATGCATGAATTTATTCTTGTTTGTCTTTATGCTGATGATTTGGTTTATACAAGAAACAACACAAAATTGTTGAACGAACTCCAAATTAGCAATGACCAAGGAATATGAGATTACTAATTTGGGGTTAATGAGATACTTTCTTGGGATTCAAGTGAAGCAAAGAAAATGTAAAATTTTTATGTCCCAAGAGAAGTATGTTGATGATTTGTTAAAAGGGTTTCATATGTCAACATGTAAACCCCTAGCTACTCCTATAGTTGTTAATGAAAAGTTGTCAATGGAGGATGAAGTAGAATTAGGAGATGCATCAATCTACAAAAGCCTTATTGGTTCCTTGATTTATCTCACCAATACAAGGTCAGATATTGTTTTTGTTGTGAGCATTGTTTCAAAATACATGAACAAGACAAGTAAATGGGGCAACAAAGAGAATACTTAGATATGTGAAAGGAACTAAGAACTTTGGGCTGAAATATGAAAGTGAAAATGACCACAAGCTAGTTGGATTTTCATATAGTGATTGGGCTAGTTCCATAGATGACTGAAAAATCACAACTAGATATGTTTTCTCTTTGGAAAGTAAAATGATCTCTTGGTCATCCAAAAACAAAATATTGTGACACCTTCTTTAGTTAAAGCATAATACATTTCAGCCACTAGTGCATCTTGTGAATAGGGGTGGATTTGAGCCTAGCTGAATACTTGGCTATTCGAACTTGGCTTGCTGAAACTGTGTTAGGCTCGAGCTCGATTCAAGCTAGAGATTTGATTCCGTGCTCGGCTCAATTCAAAGTTCTCAAGTTCGAACTTGGCTTGGCTCGAGCTCAACTACAAGCCAAGTTTTTTTTCTAAAAAATAAAAAGTATACATATGAAAATATGTTTTATTTTACATAGAAAAATAATAAAAATTATAAAAATCAATTATTATTATTATACATATAAATAATGTTTTTATTTTACATACAAAAAATAAGAATTATAAATTTATATGTATGTATGTATGTATGTATATAATAAAAAATCATTTATTTATTATACTAGATTCGTGAGCCTCACAAGCCAAGCTTCATTAGGCTCGAGCTCAGATTGATTAGCAAATGAGCCTATATATCAAGATCGAGCTTGGCTCGAAGCTTTGTTTAAACCAAACCAAGCTGAGCTTTTCATGAGCCGAGCTCGAATAGCTCGTGAGAAGCTCGGCTTGTGGCCACCCCTACTTGTGAAGCAATTTGGCTTAGAAGGCTTTTGAAAGACCTTCAATTTGTGCAAGATGGCCTCAACTACATTCTATTGTGACAATACTTTAGTTATTGCAATGACTAAATATCTAGTTTTTCATGAAAGAACAAAGCATATTGAGTTGAGACACCACTTCATCAGATAGTCAACTAATAAAGGAGAGATTGAATTGAAGTTCATCAAGACTAAAGATCAACTTGTTGATGTCTTCACCAAGCCCCTAGCTTCTAAAAAATTCAGCATTTCAGATCTCTAATGAAAATTACAATTTAAAAGGAGGTGTTGAAAAGTAAGAATGGTAATTTTGTATTTTTTTTTATATTTTGTATTTTGTATTAAGTGGGATGCCTTGTGAGTTGAGAGCTAAAAGTTCTAGACCATAAAAGTAAAACTCATTTTTATATCTTGTAATCTGAAACATTTTGTAACAAAGCTCAAGAAGCTAAGAACTATTGTACGTTGAATTTTCATCTTCTTCTCTTCTCTTCATTCTATATTCCTTTTCTCTTGTATATATAGTTTTTGGTCCTTTGGATTTTTCCCACCACACTTCCATTGTTCAACGGGAGCAAATATTGGTCTCTCAATGGGGAAAATGTGTTCAGAAATGATGAAGGAAAGCTCTGATATTATCATATGGACAGAAATTTCACGTCCATTTCTACCACTGTAAGGTGGGGAGGAGTGGTTACAACAGTGTTCAAAAATTTGTCCAGCTATACCTGACACAGAACATCGCTGCATTGGCAATGAACTTCATCACCGTAGTCGCCTCCGGCGAAGCACCCATTACCCCAATTCAACTATTATGGGTGAACCTAATTGTGGACACTCTGAGTGCCTTGAGTCTGGCCGCAGAACAGGTGACGCGAGATCTGACATGGAGGCCACTAGTTAATGGTGGAACCAATACGTTGATTACCAAGGTCATGTGGAGAAACATCATGCATGGTTCAAGCTATTGGATTTTAATCTCATTAGAGATTAAATCCAATGGGTTTGATTAGTCAATTACACGAGAAATTGCACCTGCACACTTGTTTTGGAAAATAGCTTTTCTCTTACAAAATCCAGTTTTGAACTTGTCCCACATTGGAAAATTACAAGTTTTGTTTTGGGTTTTTTTTTTAAGAGGAGCTAATTTACTCCTTAAAAATATAAGAAGAGAGTATGGAGGCTTGCTACTGTGTGCGCACGTGTGTGCGACGCAATGAGGCGCTTTAGAGGTGCACTTTGCTCGCACTTTGCGCGCACCTGCGTGGCTCACGAATGGTGGCTTTGGCTTTTTGGTGTGATGCTCATAAACAGTCACAATTCAATTGGGTGTGATCAAGAGGCACAATTCAAAGTTAACAGTCATTAACTGTTAACTACCTTTTAAACAGTCACAATGTTTGAAATTGTGACTGTTCAATGTGCCTTTCTCTAAACTAGCACCTTCATTTTCTTCATAACTCTTCAGAAACTATTTAAGGAGCATCAATTGAGCATTTCACTCACAACGAAATTCAATTTCTCTCTCTCTCTCTCTCTCTCTCTCTCTCTCTCTCTCTCTCTCAGTCTGGTCTACTACATTCTCACAGAAGGTTTCTTCGGAGACTCAACTTTGTTGGTTGCAGATTCTCGCCCAAGGCTCTATTGTATCATGGGAACGGATTTTCCTGTAACTCAACAACAAACTCAATGAAAACTGAGTGGGGGCAAATAACGTTCTAAAGACAGTGTCTCCAGACATGCCTCAAAGCTTCTCCTCCAAATTTCAGTTACCCCATTTCCCAACACAAGCTCTGTACTAGATTGCAGTTTTTCTTTTAGTGCAGTTCAAGGGACATGCCATCCTTGACATAAATGAGAAGGTTAAGAAGACCTCCATGATCTTCAACAATTACGTTCTTTGTCAGGTTTCAAATTTATTCAACACAAGAAAGCTAGAGAGGAGGAACGTGTTTGGAGGAATCCATCATCGATCAGAATCATTAGTTCCTGGGGATGGTTGGGACTTTTGTGATTCTATAGGTGTTGGCCATAGGGGAGATCAGGATTTGAGACCTCGTAAATGTAATTGGGCATACATCGTCCAACCCATAAAATCGACCCAATGGGTTTTCAAACCATATATAACTTGTTGAATAAAATGGGTGAATTGTTGAATGGTTGTGAGCTCCTTCTATCTTCTCATGACAAAGCTAGTGTAAATAATGTTTTCATTGGTTCCACAAATCACAGCCCAATGAACAGCTATTGCCTCTCATCTTCCACAGGCACCTTGCATGCACATCTCAGCGTGCATTAAGAATATCTTCGTTGCTAGTCATTGGGAGATATTCCTAATACACAATACACAATTGATGTGTTGTGGGGTGTCGATGTGAACTCTGAAAGGTGATTTTAGAGGGTCCAGATGTAGTAGGCATGTTAGATAAGCACATAATAGTTGTGTGACACACAACTATTTTATTAACTGGAACATGTGTCACACAGTTATTAGGTGCTCACTCATTATGCTTACCTAACGTGCTTACTACATCCGGACCCGATTTTAGAACGGTAGTCTAATGAAGGGTTTATCAAGAATGGGATGTATGTGGTGGTTATTGATTGGGTTGGACCCTCATCCAAATAATCCAATGGGTGTGGGATATTTGAGTAAATAAAACCGAAGATCAAGGACAAAGATGCCAAACACTGTGGGTCCCAATCAAGATCTTCCAATGTCCACATGGCTTAACGATGGCCTTTTAATTGGTCTTGCCGTGAAGAATCAAGATGGATATCTAGAATTCCAAGACGGGAACCAATAGAATGGCGCTGACGTGTATATATCCTCATCCATAACATCTCCCTCTCTCTTGTTTTAAGACTCTCCACTCACTTCCTCTCTCGCTACCTCAGGCTCAGTTTCAGAACACCAAATCAAACTGAACACAGAGAAGGAGAAGCAGCAGGGAAGCAACAAGAACCGAGAATCTTCGGCTAGTCATGGCAACCTCTGCGATCCAACAGTCAGCCTTCGCCGGACAAACAGCTTTGAAGCAGCAGAATGAGCTTGTCCGGAAGGTCGGTGTCTCCGGTGGTCGCATCTCTATGCGTCGCACAGTAAAGAGTGCTCCTCAAAGCATCTGGTATATATATTACTGACGTCCTTTAATCTTTGTAATTTCCCTTGGTAATTCAACTCATCGGTAAACTTTTGTCGCTGAGATCCTTGTATGGTAATAACAAACATATTAATATTATATATAACCTCTTCTTTCATTCATACATGTTTAGTTAATTGATTCTTTACCGGATTCTGACACACATGAAACTGGCACTGAACCATATAGGTACGGCCCGGACCGTCCAAAGTACTTGGGTCCATTCTCGGAGCAGACTCCATCGTACCTGACTGGTGAGTTCCCCGGCGACTACGGGTGGGATACTGCGGGCTTGTCAGCTGACCCAGAGACATTCGCCAAGAACCGTGAGCTGGAGGTCATCCACGCCCGATGGGCCATGCTGGGCGCACTCGGATGCGTCTTCCCTGAAATCCTGGCAAAGAATGGAGTCAAGTTCGGTGAGGCAGTTTGGTTCAAAGCCGGGGCACAGATCTTCTCTGAGGGCGGGCTTGACTACCTTGGCAACCCCAACCTCATCCACGCCCAGAGCATCCTCGCAATATGGGCTGTCCAGGTTGTCCTCATGGGCTTTGTCGAAGGATACAGAGTTGGTGGGGGCCCACTTGGGGAAGGCCTGGACAAAATTTACCCAGGTGGGGCCTTCGACCCACTCGGGTTGGCTGATGACCCTGAGGCCTTCGCGGAGTTGAAGGTGAAGGAGATCAAGAATGGGCGACTGGCGATGTTCTCTATGTTCGGCTTCTTCGTTCAGGCTATTGTCACCGGAAAGGGCCCAATTGAAAACCTCTTCGATCACCTTGCAGATCCGGCAGCCAACAATGCATGGGCTTATGCTACAAACTTCGTCCCCGGAAAGTGAAACTTCACGGAGATCATGGCCTTATTCGAAATTGTAAGTTGTGAAATTAAAATCAGAAATTCGGAATCAGTGAGCTTCTTGTATTGATATATATTGTCTACTTTTTTATTTTTATCAATAAATGTACGAGCTTTGCCGGTAGAAACGCCCAATGTTATATTTAGACATTTACTACTTGCAACTGGTTCTCAAACAAAAGCTAAAAATGTGGTTTCCTAAAATAAAAAGGCAAAATTATGTTGTATACCCTGCACGGCGCAGCAAAAAACGTAATTTGTTAACGTGGTGGCAATCGGGCGGTACATCTTGTTAAACATGACAATACATTTACTATTCATGAGTTGTTCCCATTATAGCTGTGCATTGGGAATATCTCCCTTATTCATTTATAGGAAGATATTCCCGATACACGGCAGTGGTGTTATGTGGGTATCGATGTGAATAATAGGACCATACCATGCCAGTGCTTGGAACAATGCCATTTTCTTGAAAAACGATGCCACATCAGTGCCACATTTGAAATCTGTCTTTTTCAGACCACACCTGATGTTTGGTTTCATGTTTACGTTTTCTCAGACCACGCCTTAGAAATCAGGAAAGGTGTGGTCTGAGAAAACGTCCTTTTTGATGTTTTCTCGTTTATTTTACTATCGCTAGCAACAGTATGCTGATGTGGCATTGTAAAATGCCTATGTGGCAGCAATCAACAACTATCTCAAAACATTATCTGAGAAAACGGCATACAATGCAGCACTGTTTTCCCAAAAAAACACCTCTCGGGAAATGGCATTGGTTCCAAACATGGTCGTCACCCATGTTTGAAAGAATCTTAAACTTCACATGATTAGATGGCTTATGTGGTTATATTCTCCACCGGCCAATTATCCAAACAATAATGAACTTTCTTCTTTCTACCATCAGTTCATCATAGCCTGGACAAAGATATTCGAATCAAAATACATTCCTCAGCATTAATGCTGCATTAAAATACCAGTTTATCAAATAATACAACAAAATAAATTGGAGAATTTCAGTTACATACATCAAATGCAAGACACGTGACGACAATAGTCCCAGACTCCAATATAGATTGAGGCAACTAAAACATTGGACCTGTGAAAGATACTCTAACTCTGATGAACACTTTGCCACCAAAGCACCAGCTCCAAACCCGCTTACTGGAGTTCAAGTTACATGGATCTCCATTATAATCTCACCATGTACACATCCCTTGGAGTTCAAGCAATGAAGTGAACCCACATATAAGGTGCATTTTCCCTTTAATACACAAAAATCAAGAGTCTTAAATGTCTCCACTACAAAGGTGTTCTCCTTGTAGAGATAGCATCATGCACTGCCTGACAGAAGCAGAATTCAAATATCTGAAAATGTTAGATGTTTGTGGATAAAGGAAACACTTGCATCAGAAGAGACGAGGAAGTAACCATTCCCTCTATCTACATCATCCAAATGGGGCACATGAGAAGCAGGCATTATGCCTAGAGACCCAGTAGTTGAGATGTTCACTTGGTGTCCTTCCAGAAAAAGGCGCAGGACCAAAGCAGTAGAACTGCAGGCTCTCCGTGGCATGGCCAGTGGCCTCACAAGCACCCTGTTCAAACCTTGAGATCCTTAAATTCAACATGACAATATTTCTGTCTTGTACTTATCAACCAATTGGAGTTTTTAGACCCCCATATTTCATGTCCTTATCAATGAGCTCAAATCTGCTCAAATTTCAAAACACAAAGGTACTAAAGTTTCTTTTTTTGGTTGGGTCACAAGGTTTTGCTTTGACCATGTTAGCAGTAGATGCACACTCCTGGTCAACCATACCATTTCAGGGGATCAAATTTCTCTGTGGCATACACTTCAGAAGATTGCTTTCTTACATTCCAATCCCATTAATCAAAACAATCCAAAATGAGGTAATCCAATACTGTCACTTTATTGAAGAATATTTCTATGAGCTCAATCCATGTATTTTGCATAACCATCAATAAAAAACACCATGAAATCAAGTAACTACCACCCGTGGTTTTCAGTACTTAAAATACAAGGTACCAAAAGCTCTTCATATATAGATTCTATCTCCTTCCTCATTTCCACATGACCCAGTTCTGCAGCCACCATTGCTAACTCAGTGTAATATGAAATTACGATGCAACTTCTCAATCATGAAGCAATTGAAGAAAAAAGGATTATGCACCATCAATCATGATGGTTGTTCTCCCTTTTGCATTTGGTCTTCTTTGATTTGATTGAAAACTATCTTAAAAAGTAGAAATTCTGATGTTTGAGTCTGACACAGAACCACATTCAAGATGACACGAGGGCTTGAAGGTGCCTGCTTTGACTGATGAAATGTATCTTGTGGAAAGATAGGTTCTATGTACTTGGCATATTCTCCTTTTAGGTTGTAAGAAATAACAATTTGGTGCTGTATAGAAGCAATAACTAGTACCCGTCTTTATCTTCACTAACCAACCACCATCAGATGATGTTGCTGAGCAAGGCATAGACCCTTGTCTCCAATCACTGAATGAGTGAATCCTAGTAATTCTTTCACCAAAAGTCACCACAAGAGCATGAACCTTCAACAAAATGGTGAAATCGGTTTCTGTCCCTAACAATTATCTTTCGGTCATAGATTGCAGAGGCAAGCTTAATTGCAAGATGGCAATCCTCACATACTCGTAGGTTCTTTACAATACGAATAGGGGACCCTGGAACAGTGTTGAGAAGCCCAAAAGCAATTGCTAGCTTCTCACTATGATGAGATAATACCTCCTCTTTTGCTTGGTCATTCAAATCTTGTAAAACTGTTGATGTCAACGGTTTGTATCCAACGTGAACTAATCGATCATGCATCTCAGCCAACATTTCATAAATCTCCTTTGACTTAGGGTGTGATTTGTCGCCTGCAATGAATTCATGAACTGTATTGTCGACTTCAATCGAACTACTCCCTGGAACCTTAATGATACTCCTGCTTCTCATCATCCTCCTGACATTCACCACATTGCTCCACATCTTGGCTTGGGCATATATATTTGATAGGAGAACATAGTTCCCATCATCATCAGGTTCCAATTCCATAAGATTAAGTATAGCTTCTTCCGCTAGTTCCACATTTTTGTGGACCCTACAAGCACTGAGTAGAGTCCTCCAAACAATGGCGTCTGGTGCAAAGGGCATGCTCTTAATGAGCTCCCTCGCATCTTGAAGATGCCCTGCCCTACCCAAAATATCAACCATGCATCCATAGTGTTCAAGCTTTGGAGTGACACCGTAAACATCATTCATGGATGTGAAGAATGCCCATCCCTTGCTGATGAGCCCAACATGACTGCATGCAGTTAACACACCAACAAATGTAATGTCATTTGGATTAATTCCTTCCTCTGTCATCTTCAAGAAATAATCCAATGCAACCTCTCCAAGCCCATGGTTCGCAAGTCCCATGATCATGGAACTCCAAGTGAGGACATCCTTAACATCCATCTTACTAAAGACTACGAGTGAGTTGTCAATGTCCCCACACTTTGCATACATGTCCACTAAAGAAGTTCCAAGTTTGACGTCAATCTTAATACCACTTCTCTCTATGTACTCATGAACCATCTTGCCCATGCCCAAGGCTCCTATGTCACCACAGGCAGACAAGACACTAACCATGGTGATTCCATCAGGCATCACCTTTGCCAGTTGCATGTCGTGAAATAGCCTCAATGCCTCGTTGGATTGCCTGCTTTTAGCATAGGCCGAAATCATTGAGCTCCAAGAAACCAAATCCCGTTGGATACATGCATCGAACAACTTTCTTGCCGATGCCACACTACCATGTGCTGCATACCCATGAATCATGGTATTCCAAGAAACCAAGTCTTTATTCGGCATATTATCAAACAAATGACGTGCTAATTCAATTTCCCCAGCCTTCACATACTCTGACAACAGAACATTATAAGAAACTAAATCTGGTTCGTTCATTTCATCCAATATCTTCCGTGCAATAACCATATCACCAAATTTCGAATACATTTCGATAAGAGCCGTTTGAACAAACAAATCAGAAGAGAAGCCAAGTTTCAGAATTTGGGTATGGACCCTGAAACCATTCCAAGTATCATGGGATCTACCACATGCCTGGACAACAAGAGAAAGGCTGAAACTGTCTACTGGTATGCGCAGTTGAAGTTGCATTTGGAAGAAAAGGGAGATGGATTCCCTGGGGTTGTGGGCATCTAAGTAAGCTCGGATCATGGTATTCCAAATGAAGGTATCAGGGTAAGGGATACTGTCAAAAAGCAAACGGGTGTAAGGTAAGGCTTCAGAGGAGGTGGAAGAAGACGAAAAGAACCGACGCAAGAACTTGGCGATGATGAACTTGTTACAATCCAGAGAGGTTTTGATGATGAAAGCATGAAGTTGGTAGAGATGGTGGAGTTTGTTACAGTGTTGGAGAAAAGACATGGCCTTCTGCTCTACGGTTTTGGCCGGGCGGGAGCAGGAGTTGCAAGTTGAAAGCAGCATTGTTGAGAATCGCATGGCAACGCATCTGCATTTTAAAATCCAATTCGAGTAACCAAGACAAGACCAAAAGAGTCGAGTGCTGCGCTGCGGAGCGTTCAATTCAAAAGCTTGGAATTTTAACGAATAAGGAGTTGGCGAAAGACGGGACTGACCACAGTGATACTCAACTATACAGTGCATGGGTTGATGAATCTTCATTGATGACTTAAACCTCCCCTGAATTTTTTCATAAATACTACAAATATTCCTTTTTTTTTTCAAATTGGACTAAAACCTCCCGTACTAAGTGATATCATGGCATCATGAGATAAAAACCTCCCATAATTCATCAAACTCTTCTTAAAAAAAATAAGGGTAAATTAGAAAGACCCCCTTTGTACATTTTTTGCGATAAGACCTTTTTAAACTTTAACCGTTAGATAAAAATCCCTTTAACCGTTAAGTCAGATGATGAAAAACGTTAAATTACCAAAATACTACACTAAACTTTTTTTATATTTTTGCCCTTTTTATCTTAAAACCTATTTAACCTATAAAATCTCAACGTAACTCCTCTGTCATTGAACCCTCAATTCTAAGATGGATTAGAGCACGAGGCCAACGGTTCCACGGGAATGACTAGGTCTTTGTTCTCAACCAAGCAGGGGTTTTATATCGATTTAAACCTCAGATTAGGTCCTCCTCCGGAGGGTATAGAATCCGAGACTCTGACGGACAACAGAGGCTTTAGTGCATGTAGCGCTGTCGGGGAAGCTACTGGTGATGGCGCAAGGCTTGCAGAATCATTTAAAAACAACGGTTTTGAAACACCAGTCTAGCCAATCCGGGTTTTGGCTGCCTCTGCACCAAATCTCCGCATAACTCCCTTCTCTGTCACCTTCTGCATTTCCTTATTTCTGACGCCCACTCTTAATAGACGAAGAAGACGACCATCGTGCTTCCGTCCTTTTACTACTTTGATGGCCGGTTTCTCTTTGTTGCATGACGATCGGGATCTCGAGAATGAAAATAATAATTTTTATATTTGTTTCTATATTCTTCACTTCGTCTTCGGTCTTGCAGAAACCCTCGCTGATCTCTGTCGGGAGAGACGTTTCCATGGCTCGAGAACAGAGCCTCTGTATTTGTACGGTAATACTTGGTTCCTCCCCCGTTTTGACCTCACCACCGGTGAGATGTCCTCTATCCCTTCGTAGAAATCCAACATCCACTCTCCGTTCCATTTTGATCTGCATCCTATTGATTCTTTCATCTCTATTTCGGCTTCCATTCTCCTCCGAATCTCAGTTGCGGCTTCGCACCTGAGCTTACAATCCTGGCTTGTTTTCTCCGGCTCCGGTCCGTGGTCTTCGAAGTTGCTGGAAATCATCCTTGCTACTTAGATAACCCTCGCTTTTGTATTCTCTCTTCCATGACAACCTCCTATCTTCTTTGTCCTCACCTTCTGCTTCTTGTCGACTGTAATTCTTCGGCGGCTTCCGACGATGTTTCGACGGTTGATAAGAGTTCCGAAGGTGAATGCGATCCCAAGGAAGTCGGGAATTCGTCGGGAGCTTTTCCGGCGGGGAAGTAAATAGAGATGAACACGATGGACGAGAAGAAGCCAAAGAAGAAACGAAAGAATTTTCGAAGATCACGAATCTCCAAGCCCAAAACTCGGAAATCCGCAGTGAGCAGAGAAAGCAGACGAAAAAGAAGAGCAAGAACAAGAACAAGGAGAAACGACGATACCTAACTTTAACGGAGAAGACAATGAATAATATAAAAAGGGTAGTTTGGACATTTAAAAATCACAGTCGAATTTTTTTAAATTAACTGACAGAATGTCAATGGAAGGGAGTCTTTGTCTAATGGTTAAAATTCAGAGAGTCTTTGTCGCAAAAAAAAGTACAAGGGGATTTTATCACTAACCTCATAATATAAGGGGGTCTTTGTAATTTCATCAAACTCTGTTAAAATGTGACGCATATGTGGGTTAATTTTTTGAAAAACTCAATTTTGCCCTTTAGAATCCCTTTAGCAATTCAAATCATTCTCTCTCTTCATTTTCTATGATGTTTAACTCCAAAGCAAGCACATGTTTATCCAAGACTTCTACAATAAATTGGGTCTTTTCTCTGCTTTCATCACAAATAATAAGGGCATCATGCTTAAAGCGGTTCTTTGCAACATTGAATTCAAAGTTCTTGCATCTGGGTTTATTTTCTTAATAGGGATAGTGATGGAGGAGACAATTGAGGTCAGGGCCTTAAAGTTGTTAGGATTGGGGTTTGATTTAACAAATGATTTTAAGTGAAAAGCATGCAAAGGAATATCCAATATATGGAAAGTTTGTTGTGTTAGGTGAGAGAATAGGTAGGAATTGACATTTTCTAGATGTCTGAATGATATGGTGTGTGATAAAAGGACTACCATGTGCTTAAGTTCAGTGAGATGATGGGTTTGAATCACTTCAGGTTTTTTGTTTTGATTTGAATAATTATTTGTGCTATTTGAGCAAGTGTTAAACACTAGAAAAAAAGAGCTCCCTCTAACGTTGGAAAGATGTGTATATTAATTCCTATGTAAATAAGTCAAATCCCTTTTAACTTTCTAATTTAAATTTCTGTTTTTTAACTCTTCTCTATTACCAATTGCAAATGGTTTCTTCTGGATCAACACTAAGCAATAACCCTAGAAATCTTGTTCTATTTTCAAACCTTCCTAGGGAAAATCCCATACTTGATTATATTGATTGGTTTTAAAGCTCAATAAATATTCTTTTTATTCTATATGAATCCTTTATTTTAATCTTCTTTTTATTCCAAACTCTTTGAGATATTGGATGGAAAAAGTTCTTGGGTGGATCAAGACAAGACAATCAAAAAAATATATTGGAACAGGGATTCCCCTGTTTTGAAAATATGAAGAAGTAGTAAGGATAAAAAAGACTTTTTAATGGTTCCGTTAGATATAACTCTCACGGGGGAGGTCTTAGTCCAATTTTTTTTTTTAAAAAAAGAGGGGATGTTTCAGTATTTACAAGAAAATTCAGGGGAGGTTTAAGTCTTTTACCCTATATATTATATTATATTATATTATTTATATTTTAAAATTTTTCTTTATTTTAAGTAAATCTATTTTTTAAAAATTATTTTTTAACGGAGAAATACGAACTGGTCCATTGCAGATTTCTAAATCCCACTGCAGAACTATAAACATTCAAAATGTCAAATACCCCCACTCTACACACCAATGCCTACCCATTAATTGCATCAATTCCGAGCTAGCACCTGCCCCAAATGTATTTTGTGCCTAAAAATTCTGACCCTGGGCTGAATCATCATTCTTCCTTGTTTTAATTAAAAAATTTCGATGATCAAGAATTGAGAACACATGTTATCAAGGGTAGGGATTTGTTTCAAAGTCAAGGATGGGAATGGGGAACTCCACCTCTAAATACTCTTAGTCACTACGAGGGCCAACGTAGCTCAAAGAAGTCTTCTCATATTTATAGAAATATAAGGTCTTCTCATTCAAAACAATTAAAATTAACTAGGGGATCAGCACAATGATTTTCTTCTCTGAGTGTGTGAGTGAAGTTACCACCCTCTTCTCAGCTGTGTAACTTGGATACAGTTTTAGTAACTTCCAATCCTAAATGCGCTTTTAATGCTAAACTTTCGTGGATCACATCAACATGCTCGAACCCCACGTTCCATGCACAACTTGCACACCAACGTTCGTGGATCACATCAACATGCTCGAACCCCACAACTCTGACGTGACAATAGAGTTGCAAAGAGCTATATATATGCAAGGATCTTGTGACCCCATCTAAGGAAATAATTGTTGTTCTGACTTTTCGAGAGCTAGAACCAGAGACTAACAACTCCCCTCAACGAGACGGCAGGTTACTCTCTGATAGCCTCGGTTGTGAATCCACCAAATCAGGCAAGCTCAAACCCTCTTTTGTCATAAACTTAATTTTTCATCTTACTTCATCCTCTAATGCAATATTTATCTCTGGTTCTCTTGGATCACCACCTTTATCTCCGATGGTGAAGGAATCTCACAAACTGCATGGACAATCAAAAAGTTTCACGCCTTGCCCAATGCAAGTTGATGGGAAGAAGAGAGCACTGGAAGAGAATAATATTAAGGCTGGTATAGTGAAAAAACTCAAGCATTCAGACATTTGGTCGAATATGTGTAACCCCAAAGCTTTGTCTCAACCTGATAGTATCATCATTAGTGTTTCAAATGATTCATGGGTCCCTAAGCAGGCCCCCACCATGCCATGAAAATTCTTGCCTGGAACTGCTAAGGGCTGAGGAGCCCCAAAGCAGTTCGACATCTCTTAAAGCTCCTCTACAGCACGAAGTCGGATATTGTTTTCTTATTTGAGACAAAAGCAGATGAATCTAAAGCAAGGTGAATTTTTAATTTCTTCTATGGGTTGGGATGATTACTGTTGTGTTGAAGCAAAGAGGACTCTTTGGAGGCCTAACTAGCTTTACTTTGGCATTCAAATGTAAATTTAAACATCCTCACTGCCAATGCAAACATTATCATTGTGCGTATTTATGATGCTATAGAACAAGGGGTTTGGGACTTATTAAGTACTTATGGTTTTCCAAATAGAGAAGGTAGAAGGCATTTGTGGGACCTAATTGCTAACTACCATACCTTGGGCCCTTTATTGGTGATCTTAATGCAATTATCAATGGCAAAGAAAAGTATGGTGGTTCCACTATTACACTTAGCCAGACAAGAGGATTCCTTGATTTCATAAATGGTTGTGGCCTAATGGGTATTGGTTTCTAGGGGCCTGCTTATACTTGGACTAACAGACGCTATGCTCATTTCTTGGTCAGGGAAAGACTCGACAGAATGCTGGTTCAACCTTCTTGGCTTACTTGGTTTCCTAAAGCAGTTGTTAAACACCTACCAGGCATTGGGAGTGATGATTATCCAAACACTCTCCAGTAGTTGTGGGCCTCAGACCATGGATTTTTTTCTTGGCAAATGTAGGTGTGCCAAGCTCCACCTCAATAAATGGCAAGGTTTTTAAAACCGACCCAGACGACGAACCAATCAGGGGTTTGATTCTCGGGTCAAACGGTCTGATCGTTCGAATTGAATGGTTGACCCATTCTGACAAAAAAAATAAAAAACGGTCAAAATTGTTGAACGGTTCAATCACCAAAATCAACGTTTTTGGCAAAAGTCCAATTTTGGGGAAAAACGGAAC